AAAAAAAAAAAAAAAACAATAAGTACATAAAAGAGCTGCTAATCAGACATGATCATCTTCAACCAAAGGCTGAGCTTCAGTTACGAGTCAGCACTCTAGCCTCAAGGGACAAGCTCTACAAGACCTCCATTAAAATATGATGTGTTCTCTCAGCTTGCCTTAAACTGGACCTGAATTTCTGTTCAGTTAAGTGATTCAAATTCAATTCAGTCTCATATTTATATAAGTAGCCAGGATCAAAACTTTATACGTGTGTTCCTTATAGAATAAAGGGTTTGTTCTGTACATGGACGTGTAAATACTGTGCCTAAGCCATTCCTTACTCAGTATTTCAGTGCCTGGTCTGCAGCAAGCCTTTCTAGGCCTCAGCGGACAAGAACATAAAGTTCTTTAGCCGGGTGTGGTGGTGCACATCTATAACCCCATTACTCAGGAGGCTGAGGCAGACAGATTCCAGGTTAGGGCTGGAGATGTAGCTCAGTGGCACAAGTGCCTGCCTGGCAAGCGCAAGGTCCTGAGTTCGTTTCCCATACCAAAAAAAAAAAAAAAGAAGAAAAGAAAAAAGAAAGATTCCAAGTTCAAAGCCAGCCTAGGGTAACAGAAAGTTCAAGACCACATTATAGAGACGTTACACACATTATACTACACCGTAAGACACTGTCTCAAACAAAACCCCAACGCAGCACACTAACAAAAAATACCACAAGGTTTGTACCCACATGTAACTTACATTTTAATAAGCGGGAAAAAGATGAGGAAAAGTTATTCATTAAAAGCTAACATCTACTGAGGATTTACTGTGTTCCAGACACTTTTTTTTGGGGGGGGGGTCTTTTTGAGGCAGGGTCTCGCTATGCAGTTCAGGCTGGCTTTGAGCTCACTTTGTAGCCCAGGCTGGTCTCAAACTCACAAGATCCTCCTGCCTCAGCCTCCCGAGTGCTGGGATTACAGGCATGCGCCACCATGCCTGGCTCCAGACACTTTTAAAGATTACCTTACCTATATGAATTCATTAGCTCTTCATGGTAGCCGCGTTAAGTAGACTTGTACTACTGCACAGAGGAAGCAGTGGAGGCACGGGAAGTAACTTGCCCACATTTATACAACAAAGCTCCTAAGAACCTACTCGGTCCTCTCCCAGAATTAAGTAAATAAGAAAATTCAGATACTGGTGGGTATTGAATAGAAGACAAGTGATAGACAATAATGAAGAGAAGACATCTGAGCTCAGATCGAAATGACAAGAAGCCAGCCATGCAAAAATCTCCGGGAAGAACATTCCAGCATAGAGCACAGCAAGTGCAAAGGCCCTACGGTGGGAGCAAACTTAAGAGTTAACAAACAAGCTTTGGACAAGGGCAAGAAGAGGGCTGCCTGCCCCTTTTGTTAGAGGAGAAATGGGAGTTCTACAAGGTAAAGGCCTTGGTCCTCCAGTAAGTGATGGGCCGGGAACAGAGCCTGAGTCTTCTGGCCACAGGAGCTGGTCACTTCCTGGGGCCCCATGGTTGGCCAGAAGTGGGGACACACCCAGGGCTCGGGTTTCCCTCTGGCCTGCCCTGGCCCCAGATAAACAAAGGCCCCTTCTCTCCATCCCGGTCCTGCTGGCCCAGTTCAAACACCCATTGTGTGACTGGGCAGCTCCGGCCACCGCCTGAGTGTCTCCCACGCCCTCTGCCACCTGCCCACTGAATTCCTTCTGGACCTTTCCATCCATCCAGCCTCCCCGCCCTCCCCGCAGGCCTCGCACCTGTGTCTGCGGTGTTGGCGTGGTAGCTTCGGCTGCTGTAAGTGACCAGCTGCAGCTGCCGGTTGAGTTGGTCCAGCTCTGGGCTGGCAAGGGTGAGGTCAGGCTGCCCCTCTCCCGTGAGAGTCACTCCAATGACCTCCCCTGCCACATCCCAGGTGCCCAGGGAGGCAGTCAGGTTCACCTGGCGAGGGGGTTGGAGAGTGCAAGGTTAGGCCTTGGGCCTACCTCTTAGCTCCCTGATTCCTCCACTCTCCTTGGAAGCCCTGTCCCCCTCCCCAGCATTTTTTTTTTTTTTAGTACCAGGAATTGAACTTAGGTCCTTGCGCTTGCCAGGCAGGCGCTTATGCTGCTGAGCTATATCCCCAGCCCTTTTTTTTTTTTTTTTTTTTTTTTTTTTATTTTTTTTTTTTTTTGAGAAATGTCTCTTCAGTTCTCCACACAGCTGGGCATGGAGACACATGCCTGTAATCTCAGCATTCAGGAGGCTGAGGCAGGAAGACTGCTGAGAGTTCAAGGGCAACCTGAACTATGTAGCAAGGCTCTAATTCAAAAAACCCTGAAAACAAAACAAATCCCTCACCTACTTTAAGTTATTA